CAAGTTTCACATTCTTTTTCTTTTCTTTAAAAAAGCGATATATACTTTAAGACAGTCCCTTTTTTTTTTCCTTTTTTAAGATCTATATTTCAATAGAAGTTGAAGTTGAATCTGTCATAGTAATTTCTATACCACCGTACTTTTCAACTCAAATTTTCGACCCCTTCATCTATTTATCTTCAATAATATCTTTTACTATGGAATGTACTGTTGGAAGGTGAGGCCGTCGAGCAAGTGGGTTGAGCTCGATAGTCAAGATTTACGTTGAGCTCTTAAGTCGGGTTGGTGGCTTACTCCTCCAGGGAAAAGATTGTATCTGAACTCATCATAAACGAGTTTAGGCATTATAAGGTACATTCAATAGTAAATAGTATGTCATCGATCTAGAGAATAGTTCAACAGTTTGATAAGATGGACAACTACCCACTTATCCCCTATAAATACACCACCATTCAATTGCATTATGTATAAAACCTGTCTGAAATTGATATGTCCATCTCGCATCTAAAATTAACTTAAAAATCAGAATGTTCTACCTGTTTTTACAAGTGTCTCGCTTGTAGCTAGCTCACACACGACTTACTAGGACACAATATGCATCACCCCACGGCGTATATGGTAGATTTCAACATCTTAACATATACGTTCCAACCTGCAACATTTTAGTCCTCATTTTTCCGTAAATAACTAGTGAGTGATGTATTTTTTAAGGTTTAAATGGAATGTTGATCGTGGTATTTAATTTTTGGTGCATAAATTTATAGAATATATGTTTTGAGTGTGGAATAATTAAAAATGAGAAAAATAGGGGAGGGGGGATTTGATTCGAGTAAATAATGTAGAGATGATTGGGCGCGTGGGTGGAGAGTGGAGAGTGGAGAGAGAGTATCCAATGATTGTGGACAAGTGGGCTGTCTGGGGGAGGAGAGACAATGCAACACACACGAGTGCAATGATGGGACCACGTGTTGTCCCTGCCATGTGAACTTCTGCATGTTCCCCACGTGACCTCCACCCCTCTCTTCTCCCCCCCACCCCCACTCTCACTCCCCTCCTCCACGCGCCCACCGCCTTTTATTTAATTCTTCCTCCTTAATTTACTTTGTTGTCATCTACATCCTTAATTACTTCACTTTTTTAAGTTTCGTTTTCAACTATTTCACCTTTTAACTAATATTATATTTACCAGGTTTCTAAACTTTTTATTTTGTGGTTTATTATTCAATATATTTTTTGATTTTCACTTTTGTGTTCAATATGGCCTTGGCCTTTCATTGGATAATCATTTAATTATTTGTTTTGTATTTTTTTTAAATTATACTTGATTTCACATGATTTGTTGGTATGTTTTTCGTATTTCTTGAAATACGTATTTAAATATTTTGACTTAGATTTTAAAAGTATGCTTAAAAAGTAAATAACACGAAAAGGTATGTTTATATGCTTAATTTTTAAAATAACAAAGTGTAGATCTTTTCTTTATACTATTAATATGACATTTGACCTTTAAGAAACGACGAAGATGTTTTTAACTGCTAAGCTATACTCTACTCAGGTTAGCTTTTATGTTGTAAGCTAATAAATTAGATGTTGATTATAATATTCCATTTGTCATTGAAAGAAAAACAGGTTGAAAAGATGAAGAAAGTGATAGAGATATCATTAATTTTATGTGTGTGTATGTTCAACTTGCCATGTTATAATTTTGTAACTCCTGACTAATGACAATCACACATGATAAACTATAATTAAAAGAGAATGACAATCCATGATAACTTTTAAATAATACACAACATACAATAATTTAAACTCTTGTCTACAAAGAATGTAATAAATATAATCATTTGAACTATTTTATTATGCATCTCTAGAAAAAAACATATTATATATTTCGAATAAACCTTAGTTTTTATTTGTATGGAAGAACCAAATTCAACACCATAGATTCCACTAAAAATGCTAAAATATATATGAAAAACAAAAATGAATTGCATGCTATGACTTAAAAATTAAAATAAATAATTATTTTAAAACGAATTAAACATAATAATTCTTATTTATATATCAAGGATCTTTTCATAATATATTATTCATGAACTTTTTGGTCGGCACGTCCCAGCAGAAATTTATCTAGATTTTAAATATTAAAATAAGTCACAAAAATTCATAAATTAAAAATTCCTAATTCTACACGATGACTTTTTATTTCAACAATTTGACGGATACGTAAAATTGGAGGGGAAAAAAAAAGTAAAAAGAGAGGTAGGTGGGCCCAAACGAATCGATTTCCTGAGATTTGATTGATAGGAAAGAGTAGCATTCCATTATCATCTAGAAGCTTTCCTTCAAAATGGTCCACACATTAAAGATAAATAGATATGTGAAATAATCCATTAATTTCCCTTTTTTTTTTAAAAAAAAAAAAGAAAGAAAGAAAGAACCAACTCAAGCACGTCAATAGTCTACGTGTGAGTGTGACAATTCCATTTACACCCTGCTGTGCTGACTTTATTTTATATTTAATTAATAATGATCTCTAATTTCTGTGACAAATTTATGCTGTTCTTTTTTCCCCTTGAGTACGACGGATAAATGACTTTATTTTATCAATTATTGTAGAGTGAAGAAATCCACACTAATCTTGGAAATCATTCCCAATTAATTGATAATTTCTATCAGTCTCATTTTTGCTCGCCCTGCTTCTTTTTAAATGTTGCATGCAGCTTAATTATCTCAATTTAAATACAATTCTCCCTCGAACCACTATTAGCAACACTCAATAGTAATTATTTCATTCCAACTCCAACTCAAAAAATAATTTCAGTTGACACTCATTTCACATTTTTTTTATTTCAATTTACTTTCAATATTCACACGTGATATCTCTCCATGTATACATCATTAATATTTTTAGCTATATACGTTTATGAGATAAAAAAATAATAATTTAAATATTATTTTTAGCTTTTGTTTGTTATTTGGTATATCTACTCTCAAAATATTGAGTTTAGTTTAATACATTTGATTTTGATAATTTGAACCATTGTAATTCAAAACACCATTTTTTTGTCCTAGTCTATTAAAAAATGACCATATTGTTGAATCTTATTTGCATAAGTCCTTTAACATAAAGTTGGGACTACCGTTCAAAATTTTTTTTGAATGTTGCGTTGTGCTAAGACAGTAATAAAAAAGAATAAAAAATGAAGAGACCAAAACAATAACTTTTAAAATTTACATAGACCAAAATGAACATTTTCAATGATCCAAGGTGAAGATCTATAATAAACGACACGTATAAATTATTATGGTAAGTCAAATAATTTGATTTCAGAAGTAACCCAAAGGAGGTGAAAAACAAATAGAATTTATTAGAAAAACGGACTGAATAGACTAAAATTATTAGGCGTTGATAGTACAATAACAAATTATATCTATCAAAACTAAAATCAACCGTTTAAAGAAGAAAACAGTCCATGCAAATGTAAAAATTTAAATACCATGTTGTGGTTTTAATTTTTTCTTATTTTTAATTTAATTTAATTTGTTAATTTGGTTAAGAATCGTAATGGAGCCCGTGATGGCTATAAGTCATGTCATGGTAGAAAAGAATTTGAAGAGAAGATGAAAATGATAAGGCAATAGAATAGCTTTTGGCAGATACCCCATAGCCACAGCCATAGGCCATAGCATCTCTAGCCAAAAAAAGTCACACCCACGACCCATCCTCATCATCCAAAACGTTTTTTTACGTCTCCCTTTATATTTAATTAATTACATTTATTCTTTAGGTACACTGATTATTGATTTATTTAGCAGCAATAATACATGTTTTTCTGTTAAATGCTTAATCGCATTGCGTTGCGCTACTTTGTCACTGATATAGAGTTGGATTTGGCTTGAAAAATAAAGGTTTTGCCATTTATTATATTATGTTTAATAATGTAGAATCTATGAAATAAAATGCTATATAATTGAAGCATTATTAAAATATTACCTTAAATGTCACTTTTAATGTTTCGTTAGATATTATTGACATACGTTTTAACTTTTAACTGTGTCAAAAAAAAAATACAAACGTGTTATCAGTTAATTCAAAAGTTAAATTACACATACATTATTCATTAGTTTCGGTCTAAAGCTAAAACCAAAATTATCATAGATTTATATTTTTTTGGTGTGCAATCTAGCACGTCTGGTTTTAAACAAGTTCAAATTACCAGTCACAACAAAATGTTTCTATTTTAATTATTTTGTCGGTTTGATTTAAAAATTCAGAATCTTTAAAGATTATATATTAAACTTACGTGTAACGAGTTAGAGGAAACAAAACAGAATTATTTTAATAATATAGTTGGAAGATAATGGAATCCAGAAGTCAAATCCCGTGTTTATTATTTAAAGAAAAAGAAAAAATGGTTTGAATTGGAAGTAGCGTTTGCATGTGATGGGGATTATGGAGAGTTTACTATTACCATCAGTTTTCCAATTGCTTCAAACTCGGTAACCTCCCCGGTTCAAACCCCCATAATAAATTGAACTCCACACGCGCCAAATGTATCACGCGCGCTGGGACCCCCGACATCTGAAAAACCTCTGGATATAACCAATTTGCCTCGTGATGTGGAGCTGTCAAGGGGTCGGGGCAATTGGGCCCCTCCTACCCGAAAGCCCACACCCATTGGCCCCTGGGCCCTCACTGCACGTGATTTTTTGAGTAGCACAATCATGAACTGATAATTTAATGCAAGCGCGTGGCTAATCGCACATATACTGAGTCAACTATGAGCGAGCGGGAAAGCCGCTTTTTCTTTTTGCACACAACATCACCCCAGACAAAAATTAAATAAAATAATAAATAAAGCTGTTTAAAATTAAAACTCAGTTACGATTTACGAACTGAGCTCAACTGAACTGTGTTGGTCTTGGTTTAACCATGGTTTGGTAACCGAGGGTTAAAACTTAAAACCCTAACAAGGGACAGAGGGCAGAGGGCAGAGGGCAGAGGGTAGGGTTATATAAAGCCATTTTATCATGATTGAGCCAATAGCCCCTCTGACACAAGTGATGATTAAATCTACACCCCTCGTGTCTGTCTCTCTCTCTCTCTCTCTCTCTCTCTCTCTCTTTATAATATTAATAATTAATTTCTCTGTGTGGCTGTATATATAGTCCCATCCATGCTTTTACTCTGCTGCAAAAGAAAAGCCTATGACATCTCTGCCGCAGCGCCTGCCCGTTTTCCCACCATTTTCTTTCCCCTAATTCAAACACAACCACTAACACTACCACTACCACTGCGACTACGTATTTATATTTAACTCTCTATTCCATCATTGCCTTTCCCTTCCTTTCCTTCTCTACTGCACCAGCACAATGGGTGGGACTGCGAGAGACGACGACTTGGCCCTCACTCTCACCTTAGGGTTTGGAGTTACCACTCAGCCCACTCACCTGCACAGGCCCCCCCACTCCATCCACAATCACCTACGCAAGGCGTCTTGGAACGAGCTTTTTCAATTTTCTGGTAATTTTCATTTTTCATTTCTCATTGTCTTCTTCTTCTTTCTCCCGCTCTACTGCTTCTCTTCGTAGATCTGTGATTTTTTTCCCTTTCCGTCAATGAATTCGTAAAACTTGCGTCTCGATTCCACGATCAGCCTGATTTGTTCTGGGAGAATTTAGTTAGGTTTCTGATCGAACCGTCGCACGGTTTTCTATATTTCTTTTTTTCAGATCGAAACGCCGATACGAGGTCGTTTCTTCGGGGAATCGACGTGAATCGGCTGCCGACGACCGTGGATGGCGAGGAAGAAAACGGCGTTTCTTCTCCGAACAGTACGATTTCTAGCATCAGCGGGAAGAGGAGCGAGAGAGAAGCGGTCGGAGACGAGGCCGAGGCGGAGGCAGAGGCGGAAGCCGAGAGAGCCTCGTGCTCGCGGGGGAGTGACGATGAAGACGGCGGCGGGGGCGATGGCGACGCCTCGAGGAAGAAGCTGAGGCTATCGAAGGAGCAGTCGATGGTGCTCGAGGAGACCTTCAAAGAGCACAACACTCTGAATCCAGTAAGTGGCAATTTGGTCATTTCCTTCGATTTTTCTCTGTCCGGTGGGAACTTGATGGGGATCGATTCCCTTCACGTACCGAAAACGAAAATGATTGGTGGCAATTCGGGTAATTATTAGGTTTGACGAGGGTGTTTTAGTCAATATCTTGTTCAGTTGTAACCAAAGGATCTAAATGCACTTTTATTGAGAAACTCCCTTCTTTTTTTTCTTGTACGTTTAACTTTAAATTGATTTATTATTTCTTTCTTCTAAATGTCAGAAGCAAAAGCTGGCACTTGCAAAGCAGCTGAATCTGAGACCTAGACAGGTGGAGGTGTGGTTTCAAAACAGGAGGGCAAGGTGAGTAAATTTCACTACAAACTCAGGGTAGTCCGGACATTTTACACAGCGTGGGTTATAAATTAGAAGTCAATTTATTCCATGTGCATTGTCCAAGGCTAGAATCATATTATACCAGAGGAGTTGTTGCTTTCGTAATTAATAAATGCTCTGCCACTGCATTTAAGAAGGATGGTAAAAAATGTCATACGAAGATTTGTTGCATCCGCCATCAATGATATTCTTCTTCACAAATCTGAAAATATACCAAAATGCCATCCACCGAATTGCACGTGATCAATTCTAAATATTGTTTTTGATGATTTTAAAGGGTAATAATGGGATTAAGTGGTGTGAAAATTGGATTGGATGGGCAGGACCAAGTTGAAGCAGACAGAAGTGGATTGCGAGTACTTGAAGAGGTGCTGTGAGAATCTAACAGAGGAGAACAGAAGGCTGCAAAAGGAGGTGCAAGAGCTGAGAGCACTCAAGCTCTCTCCACAGCTCTATATGCACATGAATCCGCCTACCACCCTCACCATGTGCCCTCAGTGTGAGCGTGTGGCTGTCGCCTCGTCCTCTTCGACCTCGGCCGCTCCGACCCGCCATCCACCGGCCACCTCACAGCGTCCCTCAGTAGCCATCAATCCGTGGGGGGTGTTGCCGATCCAACGTTGAAGGTTGTATTTTATCATTTTTCCTGCGGGGGATTGAGTTTGATGTTTATGGAATATGGGATGGAAAATTTTGTTTTGGTGGTGTGGTGATTAGGTCGGTTAGCTGCCAAATTCTCTCCTTAACAAAACCTAGTTAGATATTGCAGAGAGAGAGGAACGGACAATTAATTAAAGATCAATGGAGACCTTTTTATTTTCACAAACAATACTAGTGTTTAGAAAGCAATGATTAGAGCTCTTATCACATACTGAATTGTAGTACTCAAGAAAAAAAAAAAAGATTTGGATATACTAGTAAATAGGTGTAATTGGTATTTAATTTCTTAATGAATAAGCCAGCATCCTCATATTTATTGTATCTCAAAAAAAAAAAAAAATAATAATATAACTGCACCAAATCGATGAAAGGGGCCAGTTACAAAATTTCAGTAAAAATGCTATTCACTATACATTTTCAGAAGGAAAAAAGACAAATAAAAAGGAAAAAGCCTATGGAGATGAGATGAAAAGTCCATATTCCATGGGCCAAACAAGCATGGGCTTCCGAGAACGAGGTTTATTATGGGCCTCCATGATTAGTTCGCCCATTTGGGGCATTCATGTTGTTTTTTTTTTCTTCCGAGTATAACATGTTGGGGTGGGTTTGGCTGCAACGTTCATTTTGTATATATACAATATATTTCCTATTTAATCAATGGGTATTTCACGTCAACTAACTATATAATGTTATGAGTTTGGATTATTACTATTCAAGAAAAAGAATTTAAGAATAATATAAAAATATAAATTTATTTCAAAAAATAATGAATTATCAAATTCTTATTAAAAAAAAAAAGAATTATCAAATTCTCAGCTTATACTATAAAATTTGGTACTCTCGAATCTCGATGAGTTAAATATATATATTTTTTAATCAACGGGACACGGGGGATGAGTGGCATTTCGGGGAATTCTGGAAAAGGGCGCCATATGGGATGGGAAGACATATGATCTTAATCAGCAGATTCAGGATAATGTCTTCAGAATAACGGGAAACGGCCATGTTATAGCGTCTTCGCCATTGCCTCTGCAGAAGAGATGCTCGTTACTTGCTCAACGCCCTCTCTTACGTCCGGCCAATATCTTCCTCGTAAGACCTCTTCCGATTCCTATCTTTTTGAGTAATTTGGAACTTTCAGATGGGATGTACACGGATTTCTACTTGCATTTTCTGGGTTTAACGCCTTCTATCCATTGCTTGTTTTTCTACCTCCACATATTCACATTGAACCTCGAAGGACTCGGTTTTTACTTGTTTTGTTTCTTTGGATTTATTTTTGATAGATTTTGCTCTTACTTTAACTGGGTGACACGACATGGATTCAGATTAACAATATTTATGGGAATTTGCCTCGTATCATCCTGTTTGCTTTGCTCAGGAGCTGCGTGTACTATAGAAGTGCTATTCGTCGCCTTTAGTGATCTCTCCTGCCCCCTCTCCCCAATAATTCTTCATCTGCAAGTTCGATTTTTCGTAGTTCAGCTGCTCGATGATATTCGTTGGATTTATTTTTCACGTATATGATAAAATGGCAATCTGACTGTTCTTCACACATACCTGACTGAATTAGGTTGAATACTGGTTGATCTCTACTTGTTCCCTTAGTTTTACAAGTCTATTGACACCATCTGGCAGACAGGGCGGTTTCAACATGGACAACATCAAGAGATTTCATGATTCAAAATAAGCAAGTACGGCGCTACTGCTCCTGTCATAGTTTCAACCATAGCAGGTTAGACTTTGAGGACTGGTTGATCATTGTGATTTGTGTTTCATAGTGAAGTTATCTTATGATCAGATAAGTGCTGACCACAGAATTTTCCTTGCATGCTCAGGGGAGAGAATTCTCATATATCATTTTCTGATCAGAATTACAGGCGGAAGATTCTCCAATTTTTCTTATCAACCACAGTTTTGTTTCCAACTTGGCATTCTTCTGCCAAAACAAAGAGTAAGAATCCATATGATGAGAGGCGCTTATTAGAGCAAAACAAACGGATACAGAGAGAAAACAATGCACCTGATGACTTTCCAAGTTTTGTCAGAGAAGGTGTGTGTCCTGCTTCTAGTTCATAGTTCTATCTGTGTATCTTCAAGGCATTGACTTTATTACAAATTTTGTAATGTGGCTCAGGTTTTGAGGTTAAGGTAGTAGCACCAGAGACCTACGTAAAAGGTGACTCTGGGCTCATATATTGGGATATTGAAGTTGGTAACGGTGATTTCCCAAAGGACGGTCAGCAGGTTTTATTTTCTTCTCTTCAAAACCGCAATATCTTTTCTTGAATTTTCTCACAGAAACAATTTTTATCTGTTGGTGGTTGAATATCCAGGACTAGCAAGCCAATACAGTGCAGTTAAAAGTTCCCTTAATACTGTGAAATGAAGAATTATATTCTGTTCTTATTAGGTCTTAACTTTGGCATTTGTCACATATTTCTATGTTTAGATGATATTCTGAACTAGGAGAGACTTTAGCATATCTTTTCTGGTTTACTATCGGATGAATATTGTCTGTCAATGATTTGGCTTGTGTTTTAGTCTGTCCCATCTTATGACGTCACTTCAGTATGAAATGAGAGTATATAAGATGTCCAGCAAAATGAAGGTTAAATGAAAGTATGAAATGAGAGTATATAAGATGTCCAGCAAAATGAAGGTTAAATGAAATGTGAGTGGTAGAAATCTCTTATATTTTAGATTTCAGGATACTCATTTCAATCTCTGATGTCATCCAACAAGATTCACACCTGAAAGTTCAGTCATGTAAGAATCTTAGAAGGCAAAATTATGCTTAGTGAATGTTCACTTACAATTCTTGAAATATTGCTGATCAATTGTTGACTATTCTGTATAAGGTTGTCTGAAGTTTTATAAAGATGGTATATGCTTCTTTTACAGTAGTTGCTTGCCTTAGAATTCATTTTTGTATCACAATTCCAGTGCTGATTCATGGTCTAGTGATTTGGTCTTTCTGAAAGACAATGCTGGGTCTGAAAGGGTGGAATTTGCAGGGACAGAATGATTAATCGATCTCTGGAAATGTATAATAAGTGTCTTCTGTTTAACCTATATAATTGAATGAAAAGTTTCAGATGTTGATTGTAAAAAATAATGCACTGGCCTAAATGTAAACACTGACTTTGTAATTGTAATAAGTGATTGTTTTTCTTTTTATGTCGCATGGTTTTGACATTAGTGGAATTTCATGGTGTACATTGTGACTCCGAAGGTCCTTTCAGGTGACTTTTCACTACATTGGCTACAATGAGTCTGGTCGTCGTATTGACAGCACATACTTACAGGGTTCTCCTGCCAGAATCCGTGTGGGCACTAATGCATTGGTCCCAGGTAACTTCTTGAAATTTTCTAACTATAAGATGAAGCCCCACCCTGCCCATCCCCACCACCAGACACACACAAAAGGGGGAAAACAATCACCAATGTTGTAAAAGAAATAAGAGATTGATTTATGGCGGAAAATAAATGGATGGCATCTGAAATAGAATTGTTTCAGGATTTGAGGAAGGAATTCGTGGCATGAAACCTGGGGGAAAGAGGAGAATAATAATTCCACCAGAACTTGGACCACCTGTGAGTTCTCAAGAATATTATTCTTGCTTCAGTTTTGTATAAACATCTTAAATTTCTTGCAACTGATTGTTACATATGCAGCAATTTTGGTATGCAATGAAAGACCCATAATTGAAATGTAGGACTAACGAATATGAGTGCTTCCTGAGCTGGAATGACTTTCTACTTACTGTGTTATCCGAAGTGAATTTTATCTACTTTGACATAAGTCCATCCACTTCCATTGCTATAGTAGTAATTTCACTTCATATAATCCATTTCCAGCTAGATAAACCTCTATCTTTTACCATGAGATTGTTTATATTATTGTAGCAAGTTACACAAGGTTTGCTTGCATAGCAGTACATTCTCAATAGGTGCGCAAAAACTAATATTGGAGAAGAATATGTACTAGGTTAGGTTGGTTGTTAGGTAGTTCCCCATTCAAGATAAGGGAGTACTACAATGAGGAGCCTCAGAAGGCATTAATAAAAAAACAATTAAATAAAATAATAGGATAAAAGCAAAGTACAATGGGTGATGAGAAATTCGCCCCAGAAGGCAGCGTGATTGCAAAAATTTCCTCAAACCAGGTTTAATAATTTAAAAAAAAAGAGTTGTAGTTACAAAAAGATTATATTGCAAAGGAACTCCAAAAAAAATAGGAGTAACGACGGAGAGACTATGAAAGAGTACACCGAGAAAAACCTCAAAACTTGATACTCTGAAATTTTCTCCTATTCTTTACAATATAAGGTTCTGTTCCTTCAAAGCAAAATTCCGGGGAATGGACCTTACAATGCAGAAAACCTTAGGTTCTATATTTAAACCAGTGACCCACAAAGTAAGTGTTCCAAATAATCTTGAGGCTTGTTGGAAAAGCACCACAATAGGCAAAATTCCTTTTGGAGTTTATTTTAAGATCCCATCATGTGGGGACATTGGGAAAACAGGCCCTCTAGATTTTCATTCTCACTATTGCAAAGGACACACCAATCAGGAGAAAGGCAAAAGAAAGAAATGACGTTTTGGACACAATCAGTTCTGTTGACTCCTCTAAATGCCAAGGACCACATGAAGAATTTATTATCTTTGGGATTTCTTTCTAAATAGAGCTCTGGAACAGCCTTGGGTTAGAACACTCCGATTACGAGATGTAGATTCCTGAACCATCCAACCCCTAGATCAAAGAATCTTTACTGTTGCTTGGCCGGGAGTCCCCAACACATTCAAGAAATTGGCTCACTCCATCCTCTCTCTATCATTTGAACAACCTTCTATACTGAATATCTGAACCACCTATATTCACATTCCAGCAATTCTTGATTGACAAATTACGTGAGTGGCTAACTGATGAAGTCTAAAAAAAAGGTCACGTTATTAAGATATCTACACATCCTCCCAAGAAGAAATATTATCACCCTTTCCTGCTTTAAGAGAAAAGGAAGGATTAACAAAGATGTTATCTTCGGTGATGAGTCTCCTAGTGCTTCTTTTGCTAAGACCTCTTCTTTTGGCAGTATGCCAACCGCCCTCAAGAACCTCATACTGCAACCGTAGAGTGCTGTAAAGCACCCACTTGTGAAAATTTTTGTTCCCATTTAGAAACAATAGCCATATTCTTCTGCATAAATTTGACAAACCTAAGCCTCCATTAATCAGGTGAAAAGCTATTGAACTCCATTTAATTAAGTGAATTTCTCCTTCGGTTCACATCCTTCTTTGCATTATTATTCTACTTCTCATCCTCCTTTCCCTTGCACATCCTTTTGGAGTGAAAGTTATTTCTTCTTAAATATATATAAATTGACGTTCATTTTTCTCATAAGTAATATCCTCAGGAAGCTTGTGATTAAATTTCATAGAATGCTGCGGAATGGACATGACACGAGAGCATATTGCCCTGTCGCAGAGCCGTAGACTCACTTTTTGTCCTTTCTTATCTGCCAGTCCTGAAACTGGATTCCTGTAGTGTTCTACTCCACTTATTTTGTGCATCTTTTCCATGCAAGTGAAACAAAAAAATAAAAAATAAAAATAAAAATAATTTTGGATCCCAGTTATCTAAACAGACATGCAGATATACTCTATTGTTCTGTCTTGGAGTATATTTGTCTTCACTCTTCACTGTTCCCATATTTTGACAAGCTTATGAATACCCATGTCGACTCTTACTGCTTTAATTTATAAAGGCCGAATGCTCGCACTTATTTTCACTTGTCTTGCTGAATGACCTTGATGGTCACCATTTTTGTTATGTGTCTGTGGTTACTGTTTAACTATGTCAGTTGATTAGATACTTTTGATCATCCGCAGGTGGGGCCTTCCACATTTTTCAGCTCAAAGCAGTTTGAAGTTTTTGATGTGGAATTGTTAAGCGTTCAGGATTGTCAGAGGAGGACAATAGCTTTTTACTCTGATATTGTCTGCAACTAGGAGTTGAAGATTATCTTTTTGGGAAACATGAATCTTTGAGATGAATAACCCTAAGCAGTCCATACTGCTAATGTATATCTGAATTTATTGCCTATTATGCTGATAGACCTTTTGGAAAATCAAATGACCTCCAACTCCACCCCCCCACCCCAGGTGAGATGTTCTCACAGTAATTGATCATTAGATTAAAGAGCAGATTACCAAGTTGCATGATACTTTTCTTTTTCAATGATCTTACCAATGAGATCAACTGGATATAGATTCGGCTCAATTATTAAATTAGAAAGAAAAATATGTCTAATCAATAGATTAGAAGTATGTTCCTTACCATTTGACAGTAGTATATTTGCATTTCTGGCAATTCTTTGAACATCTGATATTGATATTCAGAGATATGAGTTTTCGGGCTTGTATATTTGTGAGTCTGGATCGATGGAACAACCAAATCAGCAAAAACAGCAGCACCACCACGTTATGTGCAGCTCGACTAGTTAATGACAACTAACAAAAAAATCATGCTTTCTTGTACATCCCTTCCAATTTTTCACGGCTTCTTTTTTTGGCACGCAAGTGAGGGGAGTTTGTCATTGATCCCATAGATGATAAATAAAGGTTGAGGATGTTGAATTATACATTTTAAAATAATTTATTAAATTATGTAACTTTCATGTAAATCAATTTGAAATTTTGAATAATGGTAAATTATACTACATTATGGTGTATTATGCAAATCACGCCCCGATAATTGAAAAAGCGATTTTAAATCCTCATGTGATGCCTTAGCTTGATGAGGAAATAAAATTTAAAGTATATTTATGTAATATATGGACCAAAGGAGAGAGCTTGAAAACTCAAATCCCACACTTCCCAACAAATACATCACAATTCACGGAAACACGTAAAAGGAATCAAATTTTGTAAATTTTTCTCGAGTAAACTCAATCGAGTTTAATTTTTTATATTTTCATTTGTAGTTTTAAAAGATTTTCATTTGTAATTTTAAAAGTTTCAATTTCATTCCAATATTTTAATCTCATTAATAGGCACTAAAAGATGGCAGATTTGCTTTTTACAAACATGAGGATGGTGTTAAATTGTGGGTACACTTAACATCAATAATTAATATAAGGGATGGTGAAATAAATAAATTGAATTATAGAATAAAAATTGTAAAAGCATAGAGATAAAATTGATGGGATGGTTTAACCTAGAATTTGTGTCATAAGGTGGGTTGTGGCGTGCCCATAGAGATTAAAAGAAAACTCAAAATCTGGAAACCCATGTGGTAGAAATACAATGGACAGCATCAGACACATGATATTTATATATAGAACGGTGAGTGCCGTTCCCGGATTAGCTGCGGCCTGCGTAGTTGATGAATATTGATTCACTCCATATTTCTCCGACCCTTCTCTCCACAATGCTGTAATTCATCTCCCACCTTTCCCCTTCCTCCTCGCCAAAGCACATTATTTTTCTCTCCTTCTCTCCCTCTGTCTGCATATGCCTCTGCCTGTGGTTAATTGGCGCACAACGGTACAAAGTAAAATAGGGGAGAGAGGTGGACACATGCTTTGAGGGTTTGAGCTTCCTCTCTGTCAAAACATTACCTGAATTCTCTCCAACCCTTTTCTCAGCTCTGTCCTCCCTCTCCCTCCCCTCCTCCTTGCCCATCTACGCTCCTTTTCATCAATTCTGCTCAATTGGACTCTTTTCAATCAATCATATTGAATGTGTCCTGATTTGTTCTCAAAGCTTGAAGATTTCAGGGTTTACCGGCGTACCCAGATAGCCAGAACTCTCAGGTTTAAGGAGCCTCGATTTTCTTTCGTACAATCAATTCACAAGGCAGATTAATTTTGTTCTTTGTTATTTTTTTCCTCACCCCATTGTCGACGAACTTGGGTTTTCTTTCTTTCTTGTACACATTAAGAGTTTTCGATCAATTGTGACGCAATCATAACTCATTTCTTTGGAGGACTAGGGTTTTGAAGTAATAGCACGCGGCTCGCGTCGGTTTATACCCCATTCAGTGCGTTTAGGAATTCGGGATTTGGGTTCAAAGAGTATGATTTTTTGTTTACCCGTGTTTCTATAGTGCTGTTCGAAATTTCCCTGAAGTCCGGGGTTTCGGTATCTGGGTTTCTGGGATTGGCTGGAACATGAGTCGTAGGGTGCGGAGGAAGGTAACAAGAAAAGGGAAGGAGAAGGTGATTTTGCCAAGCTACCCTGAAATTGAAAGCGAGATTGCTGATTTGGACAATAAACAGACTGTAGATTGGACTAGTTTGCCTGATGATACAGTGATTCAGCTTTTCTCTTGTCTGAATTATCGTGACCGGGCAAACTTGTCATCAACTTGTAGAACATGGAGACTTCTTGGTTTATCTTCATGCTTGTGGACTTCATTTGATCTTCGAGCACACAAAATTGATGCTGCAATGGCTGCTTCCCTTGCTTCTAGATGCAAGAATCTTCAGAAGCTCAGGTTTCGTGGGGCAGAGTCAGCTGATGCAATAATTCTCCTTCTTGCAAAGAATTTGCATGAAATAAGTGGCGATTACTGCAGAAAAATTACTGATGCTACACTTTCTGCCATTGCAGCTAGACACGAGACACTTGAAAGCCTCCAGCTTGGACCAGATTTCTGTGAAAGGATCAGTAGCGATGCTATAAAAGCAATAGCTATTTGCTGTCATAAGTTGAAAAAGCTTAGGCTTTCTGGAATTAGGGATGTCAATGCTGAGGCTCTTAATGCTCTTTCAAAGCATTGCCCTAATTTGCTTGATGTCGGGTTCATTGATTGTCTGAATATAGATGAGATGGCCCTTGGAAACTTAGCATCAGTTCGTTTTCTATCAGTTGCAGGGACCTCAAATATGAAGTGGGGTGCCGTTTCACATCAGTGGCATAAGCTGCCTAACTTGGTTGGTTTAGATGTCTCACGAACTGATATTGGTCCCGTTGCTGTATCAAGATTGATGTCCTCTTCTCCTAGCTTAAAAGTTTTGTGCGCCTTCAATTGTTCAATTCTAGAAGAAGATGCTAGCTTCACTGTCAGCAAATATAAAGGTAAACTGTTGCTTGCCCTCTTCACTGATGTTGTGAAAGAAATAGCTTCTTTATTTGTCGATACTACAAAGAAAGGGGAAAACATGTTCTTAGACTGGAGGAATTTGAAGAACAAAAGTAGGAGTTTGGACGAGATAATGATGTGGCTTGAGTGGATATTATCACATAATCTTCTGCGTATTGCTGAGAGCAATCAGCACGGTCTGGATAATTTTTGGCTCAATCAAGGAGCAGCATTGTTACTTAGTTTGATGCAAAGTTCACAAGAGGATGTTCAAGAAAGGGCAGCTACAGGTCTTGCAACTTTTGTTGTCATTGATGATGAAAATGCTAGTATTGACTCTGGAAGGGCAGAAGAAGTGATGCGGCGTGGTGGCATACGTCTCCTTCTAGACCTGGCAAAGTCTTGGAGGGAAGGGCTTCAGTCCGAGGCTGCGAAGGTAACTTTTATATGGATATATACTAACCATCAAATGAGTATGTTACATAATTTTAGTTGGTTGATTTGATTTGATGACAACTGAGATATGGACTATTCAGTATTCTCTAATAAACATTGCAATGCTACTACTAACTTCTATTTGTGGGTTTGAGCTGAAACAAATTTAACATGCTTTTATTTTGCTTGTGTAGGCCATAGCAAACTTGTCTGTAAATGCTAATGTTGCAAAGGCTGTAGCCGAAGAAGGTGGAATTGATATTCTTGCAGGCCTCGCAAGATCCATGAACAGGCTGGTTGCAGAAGAGGCTGCTGGAGGATTGTGGAATCTTTCTGTTGGGGAGGAACATAAGGTATGACATTTGCACATATATATATATATATATTTATCGGTATCAGCATAATTGGAGACTACTTGCTTCCAGTTCTGATAATTGAAATTTTTATTTTAATAAAAATAGGGTGCTATTGCCGAGGCTGGTGGAGTAAGAGCTTTAGTTGATTTGATATTTAAATGGTCTTCTGGTGGCGATGGAGTTCTTGTAAGTTTCTCTATTTCATAGCTTATCTTTGTTCCCTTATCCTTCCTGAGCATTACATTTTTGCAAGTTGATGAATTATGTTCTTAAGAAACCATAGAATTTAATTTTGTTTCACATGTATGTTCAGGAACGTGCAGCTGGTGCACTAGCAAATTTGGCAGCTGATGATAGGTGTAGTACTGAAGTTGCTTTAGCAGGTGGTGTGCATGCTTTGGTGATGCTTGCTCGCAACTGCAAGTTTGAAGGAGTGCAAGAGCAGGTGACCATCCAGTTGAATAACAAGGGTTTTCCTTTCAATCTGCTTACTTGAAGTTGCATATTTTTATCATTCATATGAGGACCACGTTTCGTTTTGAAAGTAACTATTTTTTGGGGTCTTTTTTCCTTCTCTGAAATATATGCATCCCTAAATTAGTTTTTACTTGGTATTATACTCCTAAAAACCATTAATTACCAATTGCTTTATTGTCTATGACTATTAGCTCTTTCATTTTTCTTTGAAATACAAGAAACGAAGCATAAAAAAAGAAATGGAAGATGTTTTCGCATTCTGTCTTGTACATGGTTGTGAGCTTTAGTGCTTAGCTTGCTTTTAGGGTGTTTGATCAACGTTTCCTCTTTCAAAAGTTGAGTAGGATTCATTAGAAGACCTTTTTGATGGATTTTGGGGAAAATAATCAAATCCCTGTGAAGCTCGTAGGATGTTGGATGGACATCACAAAAGGCTTTAGTATTGACCGTGGTATTCTTTCCATGTTGGATGAGAGGTTGGAACTTGCCGAGGTTATTTCTAGTGTTTTTTCCATCATATTTAAATTTTCTTTGGCAGATGGGGAGATATTTTTGGCTATGATGTTTATGATTTAACATCTTACCATAGGAACAGTTTTGGGGGGAGCTGGAGGATGTGGGGAGGTGATTTGGTGTTTAAAGGGCGACTAATGTTTCAAGTTGAAAGAAAGTTCTAGTTGTGGGGGACCTTGAATATGAGGTGTTTAACAAATTGATCATTGATAATTTAATATGGAATTGAGCGAAAGCCATCTTGGAAATGACATTTACTTGAGAGTCAATCTATTCTATTCCTTTTTTTTCCTTTTAACACAAGAAATGGAGGATGTATTCATCCAAAGAGCACAAAAAAAAAAAAAAAAAAGAGAGAGGGAGATGAGATATCGTCACAAAGCCACAGGGTTACAAAAAGGCCTCCCAGTTGGTACAACTGTGTAGGAGCTCATAGTTACAAAATTCT